AAAAAAAAAAAAAAAGGTCTACAGATTTCATATTTGTCCAAAATCAAAGTCAAGCCCCCCGTCGTGCAGGTTGCCTTCGTTTGCATTGTCAAAGCTGTTCTTCCCGTGGATCTGTTTCAGGTGCTTGCGGAGAACTGGCTTATGAGCGAACACCATGTCACAGTAGTTGCAGCGGTGCGGCTTGTCCCCACTGTGCAGGTTTAAGTGATCCAGCAAAGAACACTTTTGGGTGAAGGTCTTCCCGCAGATTTTACACTGGAAGGGCTTGATGCCGGCGTGGACGCGCATGTGTCGGTGCAGGTTGCCCTTCTGCGTGAAGGTCTTGCCGCACAGGAGGCACATGAACAGCTTGTGCATCTTGAGGTGGTTGGCGTAGTTCTCCAGCTGGCGGAAGACTCTGGCGCACTTGGGGCACTGGTGGTACCACTGGAGAGGTTTGTCGTAGTTCCTCTGGTGCCCACTGTGTTTCTCTGCGGGAGGGGATGGAGGAGGGGGACTGAGCGGGTATCCGGCCACACCAGGTGGAACCGCCATCTCACTGCCACGACTGTCCACTGTGGAGTTGATGAGGGAGTGCTGGGGCTCAGGAGAGTGGAGGGCAGCAGGTGGGCTGGTGGGGAAGTGACCAGTGATTGAGTTTTCTGCTACATCCGACACAGACTCCACTTTTACTATAGTGATGTCACTCTCCACCATACCCTGCCTTGAACGTCTGCCTAATACCTGGAGAGGGGACTTGGGCTGTATGATCACATCATCATCGTCGTCGTCCTCTTCGTCATCGTCACCATTGTTTTCGTCCTCAACCTGCTCCACCTCCTCATCCTCCTGCTGCACAGTCTGAGAGCCCTGAGAGCGTTCTTGCTCTCTCTGGACCTGGGAGGATAAACCCTCGTCCCTCTTCTCCCTCCTCATATCCACATCCACCTCCAGCTGGCGTGCAGACTGAGGTTTGATGAACTTGCTGAGAGCTTGAGTGCACTGCTCCACAATGTGGCCCATTTGGAGGAAGCTGGCAACTGTCAGGTAATGCACCAGCTCCAGCTCAGGAAACTCCAGCTGACCTGTGTAGCAGGACAGCAGCAACTGCCGGCCCACCTCCGCCTCCTGGATCATGGAGATCTGGACCTCCCTGGAGTCCTGCTGCAGGATGAACTGGTCCCTCAAGAAAGAAGAGCCAGCGGCAAACACTACCTTGTGACCAGGGACTTCCAGCTGGTTGATGCGCACTGTGACATCACAGAAGCGTCTCTGGTGTCGTAAGAGGTTCATCTTCTGCAGCATGGAGTCCCCGAATGTGGCGAAGCGGAACTGCAGAATCACCTGGTTCTGGGCCATAGTGAACCGACAGCCAGCAGCGCACCTGTTTAGGACAGATAGAAACTGTATCATCTCTCCTGAACAGTCCCACATTAAAACTGTGGGAATTTGACATTTTGTATCATTAACTATTGTGCTTCAGAGGGCAGGCAGTCTTACCTGCATATATAACTGCAGTCCCTCCTTACACTAAACTCTACTTCATAGACATTGCAAGTAATCATATTCTAACGTACATTAAGAGAGACAGAGCCCGTGATTAAAAGATTAAAGATGAAGAGCTAATTTATATAACTACTACCACCTGCGTCAATTAACAATCATCACCGTATCGTCACAATCTTCATCAAACCTTTTTGCGTGCTGCTGCTCTCGTGGATAGGATGAGACTGAGCACATAGAGCCAGACTCGGTTTAAAAACTTGCCAATTTAACGCCAGCAAAAATGTGATCATATAAACTGGTCAATTGGCAAATTAAACATCGTTATGTTTCAATATATTTTCGGAAACACTATCCACTCTTCAGTTCGGCGTTAAAAACAAAGGGTAACAAGTAAAAGGTTAATTCGTATAAACTTGTATAGGGTTAACGTTAGCTAACGCCAACTAACTGGTTTCCCTGGTGGTAACACTGGTGAGCATCGTGTAGCTAAGCGATAAAGGTGAAATATTGTTGAATAATGCTGAAAGCTTAATGCCGATTTACATTAGGTGTTAGAAAACGTTTAAAACCCTCTAAGTAGTTATAGTGTTGCCTAGGTTTGTCGATAAATAACACATGAATGTATAACTGTGACAGTTCCAGGCGGAGATTGGCAGTCGGTTTTCACTGACACATCTGACCGGAACTACGGCCATATCCATGTTAATGTTAGCTTAGCGCCACCGCTAACCTAACGTTCAAGTATTGGTTTTCTTTAGAGGAATAGACAGCCTGGGAGTTACTCTGAGGGTTACAGTATTACAAAGAAGTTCTCTCTCTCTCTATGCCTCACGTTAGCTGTCGCTAGCTATCTGAACAATATGAACCACAAGTCGCCTCCACATTTCCCTTTGGCCTTGTCTTTAGCTGACTCCCAGGCTGTCTGATGACACTATCTAGCTATACTACTATGTTTTTACTTTGCTTGACACAGTAATAAGTGTTGTGTACCTGTTAACCGGCTGTAAACAAACCCGTTAAAGGTGGGTTGTTATCGGTAGGACACTGGCCTGTGTCTGTCTGGGGCAATGAGGGAGCTGCTCCGGATGCAAATCCCATTTAAAGGCCCAGTACTATTTATGGGATCACACTATTTCCTATATCTAAATAAACCAAAGTTACTGTTACAACATAGACATACGTATATATCATATTATAAGATAAATACAACCAATCACGATTGCCGTCATTTTTATTTTTTTATCAAAATATTTTCTGTTAATTTAATAATTCCAGTATCTCTCTAATGATCCCTGGAGGTACCTTGCCTCCTATGTGGTCTTTATAAAAGAAAACTGTGTCAAATCCACTTATTACAATCGACAATAGTATCTAATACCAAAATTAGGACATCAAGTCCCAAGACAAATGTGTCACAAGAGGATTAATGATGGGAATGAAAATTTCTCAAATCACTTCTTCAGAGCTCTAAAAACTCTTAGATGAAACAATCTAGGATGAATAGTCACTCTTTTGCTGCTCATAACTCCAAAAGCCATAACCTACCATGAGAGGTGACACATAGACATTTATTCATTTTAAGGGGGCTCAAAATAAAAAGCTTGGGAACCACTGGCCCTGGAACATGCAGGGTGTTTGAGATATTTATGGTGTTTAAACTGTTGAGTTGTTGTCAGGGGGTCCACAGTTTTACACAATGCCCCCTTCGCATTTGTAAATAGATTTGTAATATTTTGAAATCACAAAAGATATATATGTTTCTTTATTGTGCATGAATCTATCTTTAATTGTTTGAAAACATCAGTGGATGATCTGAATAGTGGACCTAACCCTAACCCTAATCTTGAAATTCCTGAGATAATACTATAGTAATCAAATCTTGTATAATCTTATGCATTACAGATTTGCTAATGTCAACTTTATATGTTTAAAATGTTTTTATCACTATGTAGATTCAGTGTGGAAGCTTGTAGCAAGATGGTTTCACATGCAGTGCCTTGGAATGACAGCAGCACAAATCCGCAAATAAAGATACCCCCGTTTGGTATTGTGAGTTGTGCAGCCAGGCCCTGAGTGACGAGGGCTGTTGGTAGTTTGGCAGAATCTTATGCAGAAATAGAGCTGTTTAGGTGTATCGAATTTCAGCTACTGCATAATAATATAGTGACGCCTCTTTTAAAATGCCCATGGAACCTGATATAAAACCAAATACGGAACAAAACAGCTATGCTTGTGGAAATTGTCAACTGCAAAATAAATATACAGTGATTTTTTTTACTCCTGTACGCTAAAACTCTGAAAAAAAAAAATCGTTCGTATACACACAAAGTAACCAATATACGTTAATCTGTTTTTTCATCTAAATGTGGAATTATTTATTCACCTCACATGTACAGACAAGATGTGTGCTGTAACACCTCATTCAAGACCTGTTTCATCTTCTGCCACCTATTTATTTATCAACCTTTTTCTATACTTTTAGCTATAACCTCCAAAACTTATTGTTTTTTCATAGTTCATAATTAGATATCTTTATGACGCACTAAGCTTTGAGTGAGCTGGATTTTCACTGAAGCAGATGTTTGTTCTTGTTGTTTTTACGCTGTTTTTTAGAATTCAGTGTGTGTTTTTGTTTACTTTGAAATAAATGCAAAAGGCTCTCTTTCACTGAGAAACGTATGTCTCTTGCTCTTTATTGTTCAAGAAAGACAAAGGAAGTATTTCCATTGCTTTCCGGAACAGTTGTCAGTCATCACCAGGAGGCCTTGTGAATGATGTGTAAGCTGATCCTCTTCACGTGAAGCTACCCAGTTATCCAATAGTTATTATTCCTTTCAAAAATAAAAATTCCCCAAAAATATAGGAAAAAGTGTTTTATTGATATAGACAACAGTGTGTAGTATCAAGCCAGCGAACAAGGAGTGTGAATGATGTGCTAACGTGATTTGGTGAGGTAGCAATATATGAGAGTACAGTTAGTTGATTATCTTTTTGTGGCTATCGTCTTGTTCGTTATTGAAATTTGTTGGACGGTCGCCGTGTCTTCAACCGCCGGGTGCGTAGAGATCAACTAGTTATTGGAAGCGGCGCAGGAGGACGGCTTGTTTAGGATGAGTGTGAGGTTGTATGCTCGTTGTGTGCTTTTACTAGCGGTTGGAAAGAGGCATGCGGCTGTGCTTCTTAAAAATTCCGATTATGAGTTATTGATATGCGGGCCAATGCGAATCTGTGATATATCGGCCAGACTGTGTGTCGAACCCAGCGGTGTATGCAGATTTCAGCCTAAACTCGCTGTCGTATAGATGGAGCCGGGACTTGCAGGACCTTTCTCCTCCGGCTGGTTCTGCTCGGCTGCTGTTCAGAATCACAGGTCCAAGGAACTTATCGTCACCGGTACCGACACTCTCCCAGGGAGGCCGCACGTGCGGTTGAGGGTTGAGGGTTGGAGGCCTGGAGAATAAATGTCTGTGTCCGGCCTGGAACGTTTATGACGTCTGCCATTGAGCAGTTAACACAGCTGCGACGGTCCTTCTGACTTATCGATAAAGTCCGTTCTTAATAAAACTTTCTTTGAGTGGTTGTTCTTCAGCCTTTGATTGTGAATTAATCCAACTTCCTTGTCTAAAATTAACTGTAGGACGAAACGCTGCCTGGCGAATCCCTCGCGTCGTCACTAAATCCAGAAACTAAATTAAATTCACTTTCTGTGAATAACGGCGATAATCACTTGAGCGATATGCTACAAAAGTATAGACACGAATTAAATTCGTGTCTGTGTATTGAGCTTTCAAATACAATAGTACTTCAGCACCGCAAGTTATTACTTGAGGAATAAATTCCAAGCAGGTGTCGACAACGAAGTAAAGTAAAGTACGGAATTAAAAGCATAACGAG